TGTACCCAGAACTGCTCCTGTCTGTGCTCCTGCACTCTGAAGATGCCGGTCATAGGTGCTGGCAAAACGTTAGGAAACAAAACTTCAAGACCACGGCCACACAGCCCGGAAGACCCACACCAGCCATGAATACTCCTGCACTCTGAAGATGCCGGTCATAGGTGCTGGCAAAACGTTAGGAAACAAAACTTCAAGACCACGGCCACACAGCCCGGAAGACCCACACCAGCCATGAATATTATTATTATATATAAAAAACTAAAGGGGTAAGAAGAGCATTAGTTGTTACACACAATGGAGGCACCTCATTAAATCCCCTAACCCTAATCCTAACCCCCAAGCTTGTTGACATAACCAGGTTTTAAGTGACTTCTGGAAGGACATCAAGGATGGGGCCAGCCTCATGATGTTCCACAGGGCAGAAAAGACCCATCTCCTGTGTCCTGGGTCCCACTGGACATAGTTCCTTAGCAGATGGGACTCAGAACATACCTCTTCTATCAGACTTGATGGGACTGGCAGAGGTAATCAGGAAGAGGCAGTCCCTCTTACATATATTGCATGTATTTGGAACATACAGTACGTCTCCAAACCCAGGCCTTTTTGTCTGCAAGTTTGTCTAATATGCACACTTTGTACAAACAATATGACTTAATGCATGCATTTTGTACAGATTTTTCTCCAAGGTACTTTGTATACTGGCAAACTGAACTTTAGAATTTGAAAAAGTATAAATATCATACGGTAACTAAATTGTGCACTGATTAAAAAAAAAAGGTGAAAGTAGATACATTTGCATTCAAATGTGAACAAAACAGATTTCTCCCCATTCTTATTTTCCTTAAGCCAAATTTGTGAATATAAGCAATACGGCCATTCTTTGAGTGTTTCTTCTGAAAATCACATTCTCTACACTGTGAATGTCAGATATCTGGGGGGTTTTAATTTGACCTTGTATACAGATTGCTAAATTTTCACTTGGCAAATAAGTGAACGTATTAACTTTCTTTATAACTGAGTAAATTATTTGAATAAAACCCATATTCTGTATTGACCCTTCCAACATGGCAAAAATCTTCCATATATTTCACATGCCCTCACAATTTATAGATACATGATATAGGTGCAGCACAAAGAGTCCCAGGAATAATGAAACAGGAGTTATCAATATGCAGAGATTGTCTTTTCAGGGAAAAAAACACTAACAAAAGATACTAGAGAAACTACAGTGAATGGTAAGAGAAACTGGCCAAACAATAAAATATTTAAGAGTTAAGAATTGTGTCTTACAGTAGACTCACTCAGGATTTTCCAAGAAGAGACAATACTCTACAACAGGGTTCCTCAACCTCAGCAGCTTTAAGATGGGTGGACTTCAACTCCCAGAATTCTGGGAGTTGAAGTCCACCCATCTTAAAGTTGCTGAGGTTGAGGAACCTTGCTCTACAAGGTTGCATGTTTTTCTCTTATTGGAACTAAGAGGCTGGGAGAATTGTGAAGCCATCAAAGTTCCACAGTTCCAATAAGAGAAAAACATGCAACCTTGTAGAGCAAGGTTCCTCAACCTCAGCAACTTTAAGATGGGTGGACTTCAACTCCCAGAATTCTGGGAGTTGAAGTCCACCCATCTTAAAGTTGCTGAGGTTGAGGAACCTTGCTCTACAAGGTTGCATGTTTTTCTCTTATTGGAACTGTGGAACTTTGATGGCTTCACAATTCTCCCAGCCTCTTGGGATGAGACACTGGAGTGAAACTGAGATATACAGCATGTAATTTGCAGTTGCGAGTGCATTTTGCATAATTACCTGAAGAGTTCTTCCGCCTACTAAGAATTTGTGATGGGAATCTTCAAGTATTAGCTGCCCATCTTTCTGCCAGATTATGCTTGGAGAAGGATTGCCATTTGGTCTACATTCCATCATTGCCATTTTGTCCATAAGGATAGTCAGCTCCTCAGTCACATCACCATTGGCACCATTAATGGATGGTGGCACTAGACAGAAAGATTAAGGAGAACTGTTTTCTAACCTTTGATTTCTTCATAACATTGCTGAGAGGAGGAAAAACATAAGAAACCTGCAGGACAATTTTCCATAGCATATTTTTCTCACATTATGCATTAGTCATCAGCCATTATCACAAATGTCTCTTCGAGGAACAGCATGATGCATTTTTGTTTCAAAGGGAAATTATTAGATATTTTCTTAAGCTGCCTTCATCTTCCTCAAAGATGCAGCAGTTATAGGCTGGTCTCTAATCTCCCACAGCTTGGTATCATGACTGCTAGGTGATGATTTACCAGATATATGCAGTCTTTGAGGAAGCAGATTATGGGGTTCAGATCAGCCAGATGGCATATCTTTGTTGGAAGGCTAACAGAATGTGATTATGGGTTCTTCTTGACTCTACTGCTTAGTGGGTTTCAGCACCATCAATTATTTTCTCCTTTTGGATTGCCATTAGGAGATAGTACTTGGCAGTGATTCTCTTCCCATTTCTCAGATTACAGATTATATTGCCTGGAAACTGAAACTGAAGTATTATATGATGCCCCTCAGCACTCCTTTCTCCAGCATTTTTTGAACTTCTTTGTGAAACTGCTGAGGTAGATCATCAGAAATTAAGGGCTATTAGTTATTATTATGCTGATAATACCCAAATTTATTTCTTGTAATATCGTCATCTATTGGCATAGGTCTCCTAAAAGTCTGCCTGCAGTCATCAGTGGTGGTCTGGATGAGAGATAATAATTTGGCAGTGTTCCAGATCAGATGAAAGTGCTCATTGAAAGAGGTCATAATTTTAGGGAAGTGATAGATCTTCCTGTTCTGGTAGCGTTATGTTCCTAAAATAAGAATTATGCACTATACATTTTTATGAATAGATGTTGATTGTCGGTGGTTTAATTTTATTATTTTTGTTAAATCTGATTTTAAACCATCATGAAACTCCAGTAATCAGCAGTATAAAAACAGAAGGATGGGAAGGAGGAGGGGAGATAAATTTTCCTGACACTTGATGCCTATTTTTGGAAAGATAGTAATAATTATCCTGAAAGTGCAGAATTAAAACAAAAATTAAAAATATTTTAACAATTATGTTACGTTTATAGTAAGTAAAATTACTTCAGTCACTAATCAGCCAACAAAATTAGACAATATAAATCTTGAACAAATCAGGCAAAGATTGCAGTAGTAATATTAAGCACTGTAAGTAGTCCATGTCAAATACATGTGTCCATTAGCAGGACTTGGCAATTTTATTGGCAACTTCTGTATACTAGAAATAAGCAGTATATACTTATGATTGGCCCATCATTGTTATGAAAAAGAGAGGTTGCATAAAAGTGACAGTACAACAGTACTTATCCCACTGATTCTCTTTTGCCTACTTCATAAAGGCATATCCAATCCAACACTGGGATATGGCAAATCTTCTCCTCCAGAACTCCCAAAGGTAATTCTGTGCTAGAAACTTCTATTTTTATTTGCTAAGGTAATATTGGGTTAATTGCTAGCTGGGCTCAGAGGACTGCTATCATACCTATTGTTTTTCATCTTAAGATTAGTAGAAACCACACTATTTTTTGTAGTGATCAGTGTAAAATATATGTTTTGACAACTTCTTTAGCTCTCTCAGTTCCCAACTGAATTGAAAATTAAGTAGAAATCCCACAGCTGTGCATGTCATCTACTAAAGCTTTTCTCCAGCATGATTTATATCCATCCTGAAGTATTAAAGACCCCAGGGATCTAACTAAAGCCAGTAATTTAAACAATAAATCCACATGCAGGCTTCAGTAGAGTCTATCCCTGATTAAAGGTACAAGGAGACTTTCAAAATGCACTAGTTCATCCTAAATAGAGCTCTGAAACATTTTACTATATAGCAACATGTCAGCAGCACCTCTCAGAGACTCCCTCTTCCTGAGCTAATTTAGCCAATTTGGATCCTTAAAATTGACAAAAAGCCCACCAAAGGAAAGAAGAAATTCAAAGCCCTCTTAGGCCTATCAGAATTGTTAAAAGGACAGCTGAATCTTCAGCTTATCAACCAATCTTTTTTTAAGAGACTATTGAAGAGTAGGCAACCTCACTTGACTGTTTCAGTAGAAGGAATCTGATCAATAAACCTGAAGCCTAAATTTAACTTTTGTAGAGATATTATCACACAATAGCATAATTAGCAGTAACATTTGCCTATCAATGAAGGAGTGCTCTAATTTCTTTTGTAACTTATTTCTGGGAATGAGTCAAATACTAATTTTCAGTCTATAAGGTTTACTTTTCTCAACCAGATGCTATAAAACTAGGTATTGGTCTATGGTCGAACTCCTCTTAATTCTAGCTATTTCTCTGCCAAAATAATATGTTATTCTATCCAATCTAATAGTATCCCCAAAAGATATTACACATAAGTTTTTTTGTGTTACCTTGCAAGCAGATTGTATAATAGTTGATAGGGGCAGAACATACTATCCCAATGTATAAGAACTCCTTTCTTGTACATTGGGGTAATCACCAAAGGTGCCTAATCTTTCTGCAGTTCACTAACTAACAAATGAATGCCACCAATAATGGAGCCCATTACTGAATTTTCAGTTTAAATAATTTAGGGGTAATCAAATTATATTTGTCACCTTTTCCACTTTCCCAGTGCACAAATAACTTCAGAAGGAGTAACTTTCCATTCCAGAATATGAATCTAAGTAGCTTCTACGGGCAGCCATTGAGTCAAATTGACTCTAACTTTAATCATAACTCCTAGACCAGTGTTTCTCAACCTTGGCTACTTTAAGATGGTGGACTTCAACTCCCAAAATTCCTCAGCCAGATGGCTGGCTGGGAAATTCTGGGAGTTGAAGTCCACTCATTTTAAAGTGGCCAAGGTTGAGAACTTTGTCCTAGGTGGTGGCTGGAATTATAACTTCTAATGTGGATGGCTAACTCTGATCCAGGTTAGTAGAATCTTCTACTTGCCATGTATCTTGTTGTAGTTTCAGTATCTTAATATTTATATTTTTATATAAAAGACATTAATGCTATTTTCTATTTTCTATTATATAGAATCAAAACAAGTGAGCCCCGCCATTTAAATGAAGAATAAGTATTCTTTGCAGACTCAAAGAACATCAAGTAAGCTCACAAAGCACGCGGACATCATATTGGATAGAATCTTCTCCTGCTTCATTCATGGCCACACAAGTATATCGTCCAGCATCTTCACTCTGAGCTCTTGGAATCTGCAACACATGACCTCCTAGAGTAAAATAAGAAGGAACTTGTCATCATTCTAAACACAGATCATGGCTTGTTCTAAGATAATTGATTCATGTCTAGAAAGAAGGACCTTGATAGACTTCACATTTTCAACCTACTTCTGAAGTTTTAGGGTAGATAAAAAGGCTTAAAACTTACAATATGGGGAAGAAGGTATAAACGTTTATACATTATAAAACAGTACATACAATTACACATTACGATTACATTAGAACTATTCTTATCCCCATTGTGTCCGGAACCAGAAAACTTCATGGCTGTACAATAACCACTGAAAATAAGTCTGTAAAACAGATTATATGGATTCAGAAGACAAACTATTTGGCTCAGGGGATATGGTCTGCTAATCTTGGTGAGATCAAGCTGCAAATATAATGGAGGAAATTATTTCTAAGGCACTGAAGGGCTCAAATATGGAAGGATTGACTGATTGATTGATTGTAAACAATCACCTTGAATTTTGCTTAGAATTAAGACATAGGAGTTCTAGACCCTAGAATACTCATATAAAGTTGTTATAACTACAACTGTTTTAGGAAATAGTTGGCCATAATTTGTACCGATGAACTTTCATGATGGCTGTTCTTGATTTCATGATTACCAATCGTCATATGAAGGAAATATCTGTATGAGCATCTAATTACATTCAGTTACTACAACTACCAGATTCAGACAGCTCTTTCTTGAGTTGCCAATATAGTGGTAAGCATAGGCAGCAGGTATGAATTGGCTTAGTCAAATTTCTTCACAACAAAACAGGAATGGATATATCCAAGAAATTCATTAGCACCTGTTTATGAATAAACTTGCTTTTAGAGAAACACATACTTGGACCAGGAATTTTTAATAACGCCAGTTAGTAGCATCCGTACTCAACCGTCATTCCAGAGTGTGGAGAATATTTCATTCTTGCTTTAAAATAAAATATTTATTGCAAGAGTCATGGCTCAGAGCTGCTTTGCTTGCAGGGTGTACTTTGGGCATGCAATATTGGATTTAAAACACTAAAGTGCATATGAAAAAATCCCAAAGAATAAAAAAAAATATTTTTATTAAATGTATTAATAAATATTCATTTGTTTAATACAGACCTGGAAGTATCAGTACTTTATCACTGGAACTCAGTGGAAAACCCTCTTTATACCATGTAAGTACTGGAGGGGGCACAGCATTAGTTTCACAGTATAAAGACAGAGGATTATTTGCAATCACATCTTTGGTTCCTCCCCCTTGTCCTCTACTTAGCAGATCTCCATCTTCCCAGCTTCCAAATGGTTTTCGAAAACTAGGAGGAACTTTAATATATAGGCCTCAGGTTAAAAATGGATAAGTACAAGAACCTTCCAACTGTCATCACAACAAGTATTAACAAATTTAGTGACTCTTCAACCTCTCTAAAGCTACAAACATTTATCTCTTCATCCCATATCCCATCTCTTATCTATAAACAAATCCATAAAGCATCATCTTTTCAGTCCTGGTGTCAGCAGAAAGTCCATAAAGGGTAGCCAGAAGAAACAACATATCTTATTTTAACCTTGATCCAACAAACCAACTTTGTATTCCTTCCTTTTACTTCTAACAGTCTTCATCTTTGGTTTATTTAAATATTGTCATAGGATTTGATTTCTCTTCATTTCTTCTTTATCCCATCGCACAGAGTTCTTCAAGGCTTTAACAAGCCTCTTTTATAAATCCAGTAGGAAAAAAGTATCCAAGTCACTCTCTTGGTTTGTCATTTGTATTTCCCTTTTACATTTTAAACCTCAGCCAATTTCTTTTGCAGATCCAGTGAAACATCCTTTTCTAAATCATTCTCTTAGTCTGTCAGTTGTAAATCCACTTTCAATACCATCTCTGTCTTGTCAGATAAAATTTGTTTTACATCTGACATTTCTTCAATAACGTCTTTTGGACATAGTCTATCCATGGAAGCAGACATCATTACTAATATTGTTGATATTGTGGCTACTATTTTCTGATTCCAGTCTTCAAAAGTCTCCTTCAGTATTTTTATTGTTAGAATGTCCTGCACCATCTTGCACGCCTGTATATCTTTTTTCTTCCTAAAAACTTTAGTCCCATCTACTGTCCAATTTTTGAAATCATGAAATTCTATGTTTCTATGATTATTTATGTTATGTCTTATAAAAACCAGAACAGGATCTACTTCCCACAAGAAGCTGTTTGTTTTTTATAATTAATTCCAAAACCTTATTGCAAAAGTTTCAATATTCCAGTTTTATCTGGACCCTTAGTCTGTATAACTTTCTAAGATCAAAATCTTATTTTGCTTTTTGCTGTTTATTTCAGATGCTTTAAATAAAGAATTAAAGTTTTATTTCATTCAGGATTGAAGGCAAACGCACTTGGCATTTTCAAACTTGTCATTCCGAAGGTCTCTAATAGCTTAGAAGTAGTAAATGAGCAATTTCTGAAAGTGATTAAAAAGTGAGGTTTGCAAACTTAGTATCCTTTAAAAGTCTCCACCATGGTTGTAAGCAACATGGCTGATCCTGTTGTCTCCCAGCACTCAAACCCATGGAAAACTGTAGTCCTGCTATCTCCTCATGAGAAGCAGCCATCCAGAGCACATGTGGGCACACATCTCCCATCCTCTTCTTATCTGGACAGGATCCAAGAAACCAGTCTACTCACCAGTTCCTTGGTCTTTGCCATGGTTGTTAGCTCTGCTTTTGCAGAGATGTCTTCAATTCATCATACCTCCCCCAGAAGTCCGAAACAACTTGGACCCACATTTAGTCATTATGATAGCAGGCCCATTAAAATAGTTGGAAAGTTATCCTTGAGCACACACCTCAAACTCAGCTCCTTAATAAATCATAATTGGATGGTGTTCATGCTGCCAATCTATCTCAAGACAGCCTGACAAAAGTTTTTACTTGATATCCTCACTAACTATTACTCGTGGGAGGTTTGGGGAGACAGTAGGCCCAACAAAATGTCAGTATGTTCATTCAAAACTTAAAAGTGATTTTCATAGTCTTCTTTCTTCTCTCCTTTTCTCCCAATGTATCTTCATGTTAGAAATCCATTTTACTAATTAATGGTAGAAGTAACTATTTTTAAATTTATAGTAACTACACAGATGCACGCTCTGCCTTGAATTTCTACTATCATTTAGACCATATGTTTTATACAACAACGTTCATCTCTCAGTAGGAAGTTGTGGTCAGACAGCTGGAAGACACCAGGTTGGAGAAGACTGATCTCAATAGATACACCCAGAAATAATCAAAACAATACCTTGTATACTGACATCAAACTCCAGCTCATCCTCGCCAGCTATATTTGAGGCAACACAACTGTATCGGCCAGTGTCAGATATCTGAGTTGCCTTAATCTGAAGGATACGTCCACCACCTTGGATTGTTAGGTGATCATCTGATGTAATAGGCTGTGATGGAATTATCCAAAAGGATACATGAGCATTTCCTAAAATGTGCAAATAAAGTGTATATAGACATGCATAGTTTATGACCAATGAAGCCAAACCCAGCAATGCATTGTGTCCTGCCTGCTTTGGCAAAAAAATTGAAGCCCCCCCCCCGCCCCCCACCAAATCAAATGATTTGTATTCTTAAAAACACATACAAAACAACATGACATATGAAACGTCTTTTTCTGAACACTTGGATCCTTCGTCTGAGAGGTGTTTGACATATCCATTTCCCTTTCCTTTACTGCACATCCATTTCCCTTTCCTTTATTGCAGTGCTGCAGAGAGAAGGGTACAGCTGACTGGTAAGCTGCATGTGGACCACAAATTGTGCAATATATACAGATTTAAGATTCTTTTTTCTCTACTGCTTCCATTCCACAGTTGAGAAGGTTGCTAAGTTATACATTTTTGCTGATTCCTAAGTTAAAAACCTTCAAGAAAGTAAAATTGAAAGGGAATTGTACTATACTTTCCTCTGCTTTGCCAACGGAACCAAGAATAATATCCTTATTAATGTACTTGTTAATTATAGGAATCCTAAAAATTACCAAAAGACAAGTTCTGAAAAACTTACGATATGTAGAGGACATGCTCTCTTGTTACTTTCTATAAAATATTGTCAGCCAAAAATACCAAATACCACATTCCACATACCAAAAGCTTCAAGGAGAGCAAAAATATGAAAAACACTGCAAGTATTGGAGTGCTAATAGGGAAATGCAAAGTGAAGAATTTCAGAATTGAAAAGAATTGCATTTCAGAACTGAAATCTAGAAAAGCAGTCCAAAACTACAAGTGACAAGGCAGAATGCTATGGACACATCCTTTAACATCCTGCAATTCTCAGGTTGTGTTGTGTGTTGCTGAATGAGAACAGGACTTCCTATAGCATTGGAACATCATGTTTTGGGAAAATCTGATGAAAGGAAGAAGAGACAATGCTGTAAAGAAGCTTACTGGTTTCTCTAAAAAAGGTTTGCTGTAAGGAATTAAGTTTATGACTGGCCTGTCCATCCTTGTACCATCTGATGCCAGCAGCAGGAATTGCATGAACTTCACATTCCAGGGTAAGACTGTTGTTCACTCTGATCTTCACCTCTTTAGGGGACAAGCCCACTCCTGACAAATCCCCTCTGCTTATCATAGGAGGGACTGCCAAAAAAAAAAAAAAAAAAAAAAAAAAAAAAAAAAAAAAAAAAAAAAAAAAAAAAAAAAAAAAAAAAAAAAAAAAAAAAAAAAAAAAAAAAAAAAAAAAAAAAAAAAAAAAAAAAAAAAAAAAAAAAAAAAAAAAAAAAAAAAAAAAAAAAAAAAAAAAAAAAAAAGCCACCAGACTGAAATGGTCATTTCTCATTTTGACACCCACAGTGATGTTAGAAAAAGGACATACTGTACGTGAGCAGCAGTACATCAGAAGTGAGTGGCCTGCTCTTTAGGCAAACATGCATTAGCGGTCACTTATTCACTTACACAGCTAACAGTTGCATTTGCTTGTTAGGCACGTGCAATGATTCACAGACTAGACCAGTGTTGTCCAAACTTGGCCACTTTAAGATGAGTGGACTTCAACTCCCCAACATGGCTGG